GTTACGAAACCATTAGTCCTAACCTTTCGATCAAGGGTCATTAACGTTTAACCCTTCAAGGAAAAGCAACCCCCTAACAAAATAGACTCATCAACAAAACCAGACAAATGTCGAGCCTTGCGCAATCGGGGAGATAATGGTCATCAAACCTAGATGGCCGAAAACAGACGTTACTTTTGCTGTCCTAATTACTTTGAGCCATCACTTCGGGTGTCGTGGACAAGTGTACACAAACAGGCACATACGCATGCATAGACAGACACACCAACAGGCTTCGAGGTTGACATGTGACCATAACTAACCAAATCATTTTATACTTGATCAAAGAGGCCAGATGTCGAGTATATATAACACTTTTTAAGGATTTGCCGGTGACTCTTCTTGACTCGTTAGCTTGAATTTTGTTGTGACGATGTTACCTCGCTCTGATGAAGTCCGTTAAATGACAGACGAAAGCTTAGCACCTTTTCACCGGAATCGAAGGAGATTGCACCTCGGAAACAGCATCAGCATGAATGTTCCAGTAAAGCCAATCGACAACTGGTCAAGAGGAAACGGTTGTCGTCTTCTAGTGGAACCGACCTTCGAATCTTTCCACCCAATACTTTCACTCGAACTGGAAATAAGCTCAACAGTTAAGGCGAATCTTGTCTCCAATGCTGTGTGGCCTGGTCAATTATCATATCACGTCGTAATGAGAGATTGCGTTAAGATGGACAGATCAAGTATAATGGCTGGAAAATCACCGACCGACAGAAAAAGAGAGTCATTGATACTTTCGGCAGCCGTACCATGAAACAACCGGGGCAACGGTATGCTCTGGAGGAGCAGCAGAAAAAACGAACAGCAGCAAACATGATCAAACTTGCAGTGGAAGATGAATGGAGCATGTGTAAAGAGTAGACGATTTCTTCCAATACCAACACCAGCACCAACACCAATACTCTAATGACTCCGTCTAATGTCGGTTCAAGTGGTACCACTGATAACAGTAGTAGTCGAATTCCCATGGCAATAGACATTTCCACTGCCCTCTCTGAGGTGCCGCCTAAGGCCAGCAGGGCCTATTCAAATGGCCTCTACGTCGATGGATAGTTGAACTTTACACTGGTAGATCGAGTATCGGAGGTTAGCTACAGAAGATAAGTCCACTCTCTGGCATGAATGGTGTTCGGTGCACACAGAGATGTATATGTACACAATCACACAAACATACGGTCAACAGGCCAACAAGATAAAGATGAAATGCTAGTTGCCACTCTTCTCAGGATGGTTGTGTAGGCTGGATCGACTACTCTCCACTGGCCCTTCACTGTTTTAACATACGCCCTCAAGACCTCGGACTCCGGCGGCAGGTCGTTTTGCCCCACCCCGCCCAGACACACCCCAGGCGCTGGGTAATCGCAACAAACAAAGGTCGGATTCAGACCCCGCATGGGTAGCCTGTCCTGTAGGGTGTGATTGCACAGTGTGGATGCAACCATCCGCCTGACCTGACCTGACAACTGTCTGAAGGCAGGTACAAGCGGAGGAGACTTAATTTTAGGCATCCGCGCGTGTGCACAGGGTTGAGGGAAGCAGCCACAAATACCACTGGGTGCAAACCAGCCCGACGTCGACAGTCAGGAGGGCAGTTTGGGAGTGGAGAGGCATGCAAAAGTGTGGACAAATCTGGATCTGATGACAAGTCAGAATAACATGAACTAAAGTCAGGGCCAAGGTTCAGTTATGTCAAATGAATATAATGAAGTGTATGTGTCCTCGCGTGTTCCAACGTGTGAGCGTATGCATAGGTCAGGTTGGTTGCGCACTCGGTTTCATCAGATGAGTGTATGTGCCTTATATAGTCGTGTGTGTGTGTGTGTATGAGTGTGTGTGTGTGTGTGAATGTGTACGATTACACTAAGGAGTTTTAATTTATGTCTGGAAAGGGTAGAGCCTGTAGGAGAGGATTTGGCATAATCAGGCATCTTGAAGAGGTGAGCAAGGTATCGCGTTGTGGACAAACTGGGTCGTGCTGCTAAGGCCGAATTGACCGAGGTTAGATAAGGACAGCTGGAGCAAAGGTAGCATGTTTGGGCCTGTCCAAAACGTGTTGTCACAATAATGAAAATGAAACGAGTGACTGTTCCGAGTGTCCTGATTGTATCCTAAAGACTGAGTCGTTTGGGCGATCTTTTCTTGACGAGGACATCATCCAGCGTCGCCTCGGCCAAGCCTCGGAGCCTAAAAAATTGGCGTCTGGCCCATACGGATACATCGTCTCGCCAGTCAACACGTATGCACACCATGACGGAAGGAGTAGTTACACTAGTCAGCTTAGTAGCAGTAGCATCCTATTCAGCATTACAAGAGGGTTGAAAGAGTAGTTGCAGTAGTCAGTTCAGTAGCAACAGCAACACCAAGGCCGGCCTCATCATTAATATTATTGCCCTTACTATAACTATAATTATTATAGAAGTTGTTTCACCTTGTTTTCGCAACTTGGCCATATTGGTAGGAAGACTTAGAGGAATGCACCTAGTCCGGAGTCAATCGTATGTATCATCATTTTCAAAGTTGGACCGTGGACGTGGTACATTCTCAGACGTTTCGCCGGCATCGTCAGTGAGTCTCGCCAGTCTTAGCACCACACAACAACTCGTCAAAGAGACAAGTGAAGCCCATCCTTTGACTAAAACGTGTGCTAAACAGTGGTGGTATCTCCTCTTCTGCCCTGGCCTATTCACATTTCCCATATCCTCCTATCGCACCTTCACTGTTACAATTTGTACCGTGCTTATTTTCAATGTAGTGTGGTGTGCTCCTTCGAGCGGTATTCATGAAAACCCTTCACACTCCACGCTGTTGTTATCAACCCCTTCACCCTTGTGCTGGGAATGTTGACCAGAGTATGCCATATTGTTACGTAGTCATAGATACTTTCATGGGTCTTATCAGAGTCTCCCTCTTGCCCCCCCGTTTGTGCTACTAGGTGCGTTTCTCTAATTCTTTCTACCAATATGACCAAGTTGTGAAAACAAGGTCAAACAACTTCGATACAACGAAAGGAGACTGCGACCACACAAAAGGCCACGCCATCTTGGTCTTCGTACCTTCATATAATTAGTATTACAATTAATAGCAGTACTAGTAGAGTTAATAAATTCATTTCAAGGGAAAAATTGAAAATCAGGGGCGGGCTGATTTACGAGTATGACTTTGATGAAGCCAATTTACGAATAGCTCACTCAGCTTTCCCTTCAGCATGAAAGGTCCAGCTAGACGCAATTACCAAGTGACTTTCTAAACCCAATTTGTCATCACAAATTCAACCCGTCAGGGGAGAATAAGTTGGTATACTCTACCAATTTTTGCACTCCATCAAATCTGGCGCCAAATTTGCGGCGCGAGAGGCCCCGTCGAGAAGTGGTTTTCAGCAAATGAATCCCGAATGAAGCTGGGAAAAGTGGCGAGCCATTCGAAGAGGACGTTAAGCAGTTTTCATTTGCCATCATTCAACGTGAGTTGAAGATACACTTCGGGATTGCGTCAGAGAGTGGAAAATCAGCGAAACGACTTTCGCCTGCGGCACTGGGCGGTGTTGGAGCCAAAGAATGAGTCAAGTTCAAGCAGATTGGGGAGACCACGAACTTCAGGCCAGGTCGCCTACGCCGACGCAAAGGGCCTGTCGGTAAAGAGGTTTGTGCATCCAACGGCAACATGAGGTTGTCTATTCATTGCGCTGTTGCCACCCCTTGCATCGGCCTAGGCAACCTGAGTTGAATACACTTCATGTATGCAAGAGGACAGTCTCCGCGAAAAGGTGCAAAATCCAACAGTTTCTTTTGGTTTGCAGCGAAGCCAATCGACAAAACCTGCATCTCTCGTCTCTTTCACTACCTCTGCCCTGGAGTCAACGCTATTATGAGGCGACGTGATAGCGCTCTTGTGCGTAACAATCATAGCCTCCGAGTTTTTGTGGGATTATTCGTGGTGCACGCACGACAATACTCTATTGGCCACGAGATTGCGCAACACTACCGTTGCTAACGCCACCCAGTGGGCTCGGTTAGAGCCGTGCCGGTAGGTCAACAGTCATGGCGACTGAAAAGACGCCGTTCGACTGGCAGCCCAAGGTCGGCGAGCCAACAAAGTGACGACAAGAGGCGCGGGTGGCCGCATAAACACCGGCGAGTGGTGGGCAATCAGAGAGGCTGAAAGTTTCGTCCACCGGTGAAGACGAGCAAAAGGGTGGATGGCCTCGTGTCAAGGGGACAGATCACTTTGGCCGGTCTGTCGGTTGACCAACAGGCTGACGTGGATGGTGGCTGGTGGTGAACCGACGACCGGTCTGGCTTACAGTTTG